ATTAATAAAAAATGCCACGTCGGATTTCCGGCCAAATTGGCACTAAAGTGATCTCTTTTGCTCCGACTTGGCACCAAAGTGATCCGAAAAAAAGTTATGGCACCAAAGTGATCGCCGTACACAAGTTATGGCACTTGTGGTGTACTTTTGCCGGGAATGGACATTGCCAATGATGATTTGAATTTCTTCTAAAGTCGGGGTTAATTCGTGACGATCAAACACAAAGGTTGAGCTTTTGGGGTTCCAAAAGTGGGCCAAGGCCTTGATCAATGCCACTTGGGGCTTGATACGTAGAAGAGAAATGAGGTGACCGATCTTCTTTTCCACGTAATTCTTCTTGCTCGCGTCGAGAACATCCCACATGTCCAACAATGCTCGCTTCGGAATCGGGAGGATCCGAAGCTCATCGAGGCCCATGATATCTAAGCCTATGGGGCATTTAAATCAACCCCTATTTATTACGAAGTAAATTTAAATTCATATAATAAAAAGTGCGATCATTGAACACGAATAAGATACAAACCTTTACCCAAAATGGTGGATAGGTCAAACACAAAGACAAGTCGTATGCCGACTCGTGAGGCTCACTAAAGGTAGCGATTCTAAGGGCTAAAGGTCCCCATCCCAAATAGATCAAAAGAGTTTTCCCCATTCCGCACTTGCATCGGACAGTCCTCTTTATCACTATTTGAAAATGAGCGGAACCAAAAGGGGATAGCCATGGGTCTTTCCCCGCACGGTTTCCACACTTTTGGCACCTCCTATGGGTTTCTTAAGGCGATCGGGGTTTTAGATCGCAGGTTGTGTGTGCAAAGTGTAGTGCTAAAGCAGGTAGAAACATGCACAACAGTTGATATCAAAACAACACTTCTATTTTCATTCACATACACATACACCCTTACACCAACCTGCAAAACAAACATGTCAGCAATCACTCCGCCCCTTATAACTCCCAACCTACAAAAACATTTAACACGACGTTAGCGGACTTACCTTAGCCTTCACGAAGCACTGTCACAAGACCACGTTAGTTAACCAACAATTAAGTTATATTAGGCCTAAGTCCTCATTTCCCCAGCGGAGTAGCCAAGCTGTCGCAACCCTTCTTTTTCCGTCATGGAAAAAAGGAACGGGTTTAGGTGGTATTGCCCAAAAAGGCGTATCGATGGCCCATCAATCTAGACGCGAACTCTCCCCAAGTTCATACCCCGCGCAACGTTGGATTTCATTTTGAATTCTCGATAACTTAGGTACTTCTAGGAGTCGCCACTAGCCTATTGGGGTCGGCTAGAAACCAATCAAGGCGCGGGAGTGTCGCCTCGATTCCTACGCAACCAGAGCTTCTAGGGCCGGGGACTTGTTTACACTAACATTTCTATTAGCGCCCTTTCGGTACCTAACTTGAGAGTGCATTATCTAAGTGGTCACGCGATCTTGATCACCAATTATAATCCTATGATATCAAAGCCGCTAAGTGTCCTTGCAAGTGTTTTTGTGGGATTGTTTTCTTCAATGTCTAGATTAATACTAACCTAATTTAGGAAAGAAATTAACACTCAAATTATTGAAAAAAAGCAGAGCAGTAAGTAAACATCCAAGAAATTGAAATGACTTGAAAGTAAACGCGGAAAGAGAAAACCCGATACAAGTCGGGCAAATAATATTACATGGCCTCGTTATCATGCCCCGGGACAGGGCCCCCATGAGCAAAATGAGAATTTAAATATGCATGAAATTACTCTAGCTACACAAAACTATTCTAAGTAATTTTAGTCTATGCAAAATGGATTTTTTTTTGGCCGTAAAAATGGTAATAAAATACCAAAATAGCATTAAATTAGGCAAATGACTTTATAAAATTAGGAAAATCTCATAAATGTCATTTTTTGCATAATTTGATACTATCCAACATTTTTCATTTTTTTTGAAATTTTCTGATTTTTTTTTCATTTTTTTAAAAAAGTAATAATTCCCTAAATCGGTCTATGCTCGGTTTACGCGAACATGAAACAACTCAGAATATGAATATTGCAAGAACCGGGCTCAAATCAACCGTTTCAAGCTCGAAGCTTGGTTTGGGCATTTCGTCGAGCATTTGGTGTGCATTAAACTGCCCCAAATGGCTTCCTCGAGCCATATTCGTGGCCTTCAATCTCACTCCGTGTCTGATATCAAGTGGAACCAAAGTATCAAGGTTATATTATCACATGTAAAGAACAATATTAGCTGTAAATCACATCCTAAAACGCACAAGAACCAAGTTGGAATCGGCCTCCAATATGTGGGTTCGGACTGCTTTTGCAAATCTGGGTTTAAACCCAGGTCAAGCAAACCTGTTGCATGCCCAGGTTTAAGCCCCGACACTCATCTCGTGCAAGATCTATGGGAAACATCACTTCATCCAAAAGAATATACGTAACATCTACTTTTAAATGAAACAAACATCATGGAGAATGATCAAGTGAACGCGTCGAAACAACCCCTCCAAGAAGCATACACACATGGTTCATAGTGACTAGCCATGAATCAATGTGGGTTAGCTTGGCTTTTTACTCAAGTTTCAAGCCATCTCATGGTTCACACGGGGCTTCAAAGACCAAATCAAGTGGATCTCAGCATAATTTGTACACCCATATAACGTTCATCAAGCTCATGAAGGTAGAAAACGCATGCAAAGGGGACTAGCAAGTCAAACATATAGGGCTCATGAAGGGGCTCCAACACCTACAAAAATTCCGGCCTCAGAAGTCAGTTCTCTGGGCTGGTTTTCTCTTGATTTTTCATGACTAAAACATGTTCAAAATTGAACAAAAATACATGTAGGATACTCACCTTGCTTCCTAGTTTCTCTTTGAAGTATCCCTTGGCCGAGGGAACCAAAAACTTGTCTTCGAAGGGCGCGGGGAACTAGGCTTCTTCAAACTGGAAAATGAGATCTGCAAAGAAAGAACTGACAACGAAGGTTTTTGTTGGTCTCCAAAACCAGAATCAACGACCTCTTTTTCTGACTAATTTGACACCAAACCAAACTATATGTATTATAGTTTAATTTTCAAGTCACAGGTATCCTCATATATTCCTCATGTCTCTCAAAACCTCCCACTTTCCCTCACCAGTAACCGTCGGACTTCAACACTGAAGATTTCTGGGTTTCTCTCTTGACCCGAGAATGGGCTGCTTTTCGAGGGGATTTTGGGTGGCTTCCCGACATCCATTTGGGACGTGCGACATATGGTTGGAAATATCTTTGAATGTAGTTCCACTCTCTAGTTGAAGGTTTTGGCTAATTTTGGCTCGAAGTTCACGAAAATCTCACTTTCCTCTCCAAAAGTCAGTCTGGAACTTTTCTGGGTTCATGTTCTGTTTGAGTTGCGTCTGAGGGTGAGTTTTTGGAACGACCGTGAACTCTCTTCCTCTTGTCTCATCCCTTTCTTTTTATCCCCCAAAAGAACGTGCTTCAGAGATCCTATCCATCAAATCCAACCAGATTTTTAGCCCGTGATTGCCCACTTACCAAGCCTGCAAACTGAGTCTCTTCACCAACTTTCTGACTCCAAAATCATCATAATTTGCAGCTGTTGAGTGGGCAGGATTGACCGAGATTATCACGTGCCTTTAGCAGCTTATCCCCGGCAAATTTTTGTCCATTTGCACTCCTAATGATGGTCTCACACCTCGGCCATAGTTCATGCTGATCGGCTGGCTGAGTAGGATATGGTGGGGCCACGAAGTTGGCTACTCAGCAGCCTCGAATTGAGACCAAATCGTGGACCGATTTTTGGAAGCTGATTTAAGTGCTTTAATCCATTAATCTAGTCGGAATTTTTGATCAGTTTGAAATTTGAAGTATATTAGTTTAAGATGATAATCAGAATTTGTAATTTTCCATGCCCAATTTTGCAGGAAAGTCCCTCAAAATTAGCCATTTTCTTGCCCGAGAATGCTCGATTTGAGCTAATTTAGTCCTTTTGGCTTGATTTGATCAATTTTACCTTGGCCGTTTTCAATTTCAAGCTTGATTAGGGGTAAAGATGATGATTTAAGGGCTTGGGGGCGAATTTTACAAATTTTGCGATTTGGTCCCCCAACTTTTGGAAATTGCATTTTGGCCCCAACTTGCTGGTTCATTTGCAATTTGATCCTTCAGGTCTCGGCTAGCTACACTCGAATCCTTGGCCCTTGCTCTTCCGTTTTTTTTAGTAGAATAATTCCAAAATATTTTTGTGGAAAAACAAGTTCCAATTTTTCGAACATGATTTTTGGGCAAAAAATTTAGGTGTCAACAACTGGCCAAAGATAGAAGAAAGGGAAAAAAAAAGAAGGAAAAAAAAGAAAAAAATCAGATTTTTTTTTAAAAATTGAAAAAATATTCAAATGTTATTAAAAATTATCTTTGTCAATGCCGATGGCGTCACATAGGCCAAGCATCGTTAATGTCAGAAATATCGGGCCAAAATTAATCCGAAGGACTAAATTGGTACAAAGACAAAATGTTTATGACTCAATTGGCACAAAAAAAAGTTTAGGACTAAATTTGCACAAATACAAAATGTTTAGGACTTTTCTGACACTTTTCCAGATTTTTTTAACCTTTTATTTTTATTTCAAATCTATTCTCTGGCCACTGATTTATTCTGAGATATAAAAAAATTAACTGACGTACACAAACATATTTTTATTCTTTTTCTGTCCCGTAAATAAAAGTACATAAAAAGAGAGAAACGGAAATATTACTAAATAGGCCCTTAGAATAGCGGTTTGGGATTTCTCGCAAGATGATATTTAGTTTGTGGTGAATGTATAATGACATTATTGGTTTGAATTTTTTTGTGAATTCAAAATTAGTTTCGAAAAAACATGTTATGTCAGTATTATTCTAAATTAAAAATTGCGAAAAGAAACAAGAAACAAAATTGTGAGGACTAAACGAGGTTTTGGAGAGGGTATTAGAACAAACGTCCTTAAAAACCACGAAAGGGGAGATGGATTATATCACTACACGTCGTATCATGCGCCACACAAAGGCTCCGGAAAATCTGGAAATCAAGAAAATGGCAGAGAGCTGGAGGGAAGCAGCAGCAGCAGATAACGAAGGCGCGAGCGCCAGATGGAGCTGTTGCACTGGCAGGTCCTCGCGCCTTCGCAGTGGAGACCCTCGCCTTCGCCACTCTCGCCACGCGAGTCGAGAAACCTCGCTTCCCGTCTCCCCCCGAACCCGACCCTCCTCTTCTTCCATCGCCGAAGGAGAACCAGCCCGACCCTCGTCGCCAGGTGCGGCGGGTGGGACTTCAATGCCGAGAACCGGGGACCGGGCGGATTCGGGTACGGCCCTCGAGGCGGTGGCGACGGCGTCGGAGGATTTGGCAAGTGGGTCAGGAGGAAGGAGAAGGGGAGGAAGAAGGGTTGGTGGCGGTGTTATGGTTACTCGAAGAGGCGTTGGTGGTCCGACGATGACGGAGATGAAGACGAGGACGAGGAGGAAGAGCCTGTTGGGATTTGGGAGGAGGTGATTGACACCTTTTGGATCCTCAAGGTATGTTCCCGATGATTTCTTTCGAGTTCTATTTTATTGGCCGATCCATTTCTTTCGATTTAGCGAATATTTCATAATTTTCTTGAATTCGATGAACCGGGTCGTGTGCGTTCTGATGCTGTGCTGCATAAAAATGTCTGCTTCTGTTTAAATTCGTCACGCTCTTATGTAATCTTGTATCAAAAGTCGACTAATGAACAAAGCGTGAAATTCGGTTCTCCTCCTGGGCAAATGGTGATTATTTGCTGTTATTTTCATGCTTAAGAATTCAGGCAATAATGACAAATGCACATTGCAGAGAAAAGTTTCGATGTCCTGTTTTGCTTGAGTATGTTGAGGCATGTGCACATTTCAGTAGTCACGATTGAAGATTTCAACGTAGGGACCGGTAGATTTCTTAATGTTAGCGTACTTACGAATATTTCATGATATACTGTGGTGGTTGATGTGGCATGGTTAAGTTGAAAATCAATCTGACTAACGATGGCATTAGATGACTTTTTGTTCCGAACACACCTTGAAAAATGTGGTCCTAGGATGAGCTCTGTGCTGTAGCGGACAGAACTTTTGTAGCTGACAGTGGAATTCCTCATGAATTTTGGGTGGCGACGCTTAGATCACCGCTGCGTAGTACACTTTTTAAACTTCATGTCAATGCCTTTGCTCCACCTTATCATGATCTTTTAAGAACATGAATGCCTCTCGGTGTCCAAATTCGATGTGTTACTGTTCTCACAGTCAGGGGTTGCAGATTCGATCTTCCTGCCTTCATTTACTATCGTCCTCTGGGTGGAGGGTCGTTATTGTTATCCCACTGGTACTAAGCATGATTAGATGAGCTGGAGTGTGCACTTTAATCAAAGTTTTCTTCTCTTCCAGATGCGGATAATTCAGCACAAACTCTTCAGCTCATAGCATTTCCAACTCCACTGTCAACTGCAATTCCCTTCTCCATTAATCCGCTTTTATGCTCCTATTCATCAACTAGTCCAACAAACTAAGCTAGTAGCCCATTTTGCTATCTCTTCTACTTTTGCTTGGCTTGGATAGCGCCTTGGTGCATCTATCCTTCCTTATCAAGTGAGAACCATACCAAAATTTCATCCTCATGAAAAAATCGATGGCTTGGTTCCTGTTACATGACTAATCATCAATTAATCCAACTTCAGGAAATGAATACTATCACCAAATGACCCCTTACCCTGGTAAGCCAAAATTCAGCATCTGCTGGTCAAACTACAATGTTCTTCTCTTTTAATTGCTACAAATTGTGGATTTTTTTTTTGGTCGAGAACAAATTGTGGAAGTTGATGAGTTCCAAATGGCGCCAATGGTCCATTTCTCTATTTTTTTTTTGTAAGATTCGGATTTCTCTTAAGTCGGGTAATTCCCGTGTAGCTATTTCAGAAAAATCAAGTCTGTGTTTTCGCATGCATGGGATCTGTTTCTGTGGTTTCCCGCTGTTGGTACTTAATCTCCATCATATTTCATGATGAGTTGGCCTGGCAATTCCCTCATGGTGCTAGGTTTGAGCCTCAATCCTACCTAAATTGGCCTGGTACTTTAGATTAACTTTGGCATTGCATGGGCTGTCATATGGATGTGGTTTGAGATTCTCAATTAACTAACCAAGAAGAGGGAGGAATGATACTTGTACGACCCACTGATAACTACACTTGGTAACTATTCCCATGCGGTTGCTATTATCTAATTATTTAAATGTGTATTTGTCCATGCACGTATCAAGTTGGGTTTTCTTTGAAAGATTTTTGCTTTTAACCATTCGGTTACAATTTTGATTTCAAATTTTGAAATTTGATTTTTTTCTAGTCCTGAATAGTTCGTGTTTATAAGAACATATGAATAGCAACATCTAATGTTATCAAGTTGTGCGAACTTTTTCACAGTATGTAACTAGAAACAAGCACACCGATAGCATGTGAAAATTCTTAGTATGTAGACAACGCATAAATCAAAAAGCATATACCCTGCAATGTGCATATTGTTGTGTGCTTGCTATATGTCAAGTTTGTCATCAACTATTATTCTTACAAAACTTATGTAATAACTTCTCATCTAGCTTCAAAGGTTATGGTGTTCTAGCCTCAAGTTTTGGCAATGTTATATAGAAAGTATTTTTCTTTTTCTTTTTTCTCAATATTGCTTGATAATAACATTGTATCGTCTAAATTTTCCTCATTTGAAGAAGAAAATGCTTAAATAAATATTGGATATGAGGCATGTATGGAGACTTGCCTCTTTGGATGTTTGACCATGAGAACTTCTGGAGGTGAATTTGGTCTTCTAGGCAATACACGATTTATAAGAAGTTTCTCAATTCAATCAAGTAATATTTTTGGGAAGAAAGCAAGAGGGTTCTTTCCCATTACTTTGCCAAAAATGATTCCTGCAATATTTTCTCCTTGTCAGTTTCAATAAGTTTAGTGTTTCAATGGTGATTTCTGGCCAGTGTAGGTATTCAGATCCTATGGTTGGATGCTTCCTATCATCCTCATCTCATTGCTGGTAGCTACGGGTCCAAAAGCTTTTCTCATTACTCTGGCTCTTTTTTTTGGACAATCGGCTCTTGCTTTAGTGATTAAGAAGTTGTGGCCTGGAAAAAAGAACAAATCAAAAGGTAAAGCCGGGAGAAGGAGAAGGAAAAGATATCCTTACCGCACGAACAATATCAGAACAAAGGAAGAACGAGATTGGAGGAGATGGAACAGGAAGGATAAGATAGAATATGAATCTCAGCAGGGTGAGGGAGATTTTTCGGCCCCCGAGTATGAGGGAGATACAAATAGTTTTGGTGGATGGGATGAGCTGGAGGGGAAGCAATTCACAGGGAAGTCGTACCCGGTTTCAGAGAGACCGCAAAGACCACAGATGGATATTGGCAAGTATAGTAGAAAAGCGAGCAGAGACGATGTTCCATTGCTGATGAGACTTTTGATTGCAATGTTCCCATTCCTGGGCTCCTGGACTAAAATGTTCTGGTGATTTGCTAAAGCGAAAGCTTGAGTTTACGAGCAGTTTTGTTTGGTCTTGCTTGGTTGGGAACTTGGAACAAGTTGCTGCCTGAGATCGGGGAAGTATTTGCTTGCTGGTAAATCAGAAACTTCGATTGTTGATGATTTTTCATGTTGAGGATCATTTGTTTAAGGTGTGACAAAGAAGAAGGAACTGCCATATTCAAGATGCCAATATGCATCTCATTCATTAGACTTAGAGCTCCAAATAGAAGCTAAGTCCCCTTTTCTTTTCTATTCTTTAGCCTCTATATGGCATCTTCAGATTCATTCTCTCCTGGAACTTGTCTTCCATGCTCTACATGTTGTCGGCAGTGTCTTTTGGTCACTTGTCTGTTATAGGTTTGAGGAATAATGTGGCGACTGAGCACGCAAATGATTTACAGTATTAACAAATGCAGATTGCGGAGAAAACTTTCAATGTCCTGTTTTGCTTGAGTATGTTGAAGCATTTGAGCGTTTCAGTAGTCACGATCGAAAATTTCAACGTAGGGACCGGTAGATTTCTTAATATTGGCATACTTTCGAATATTTCAGATATACTGTGGTGGTTGATGCGGCATGGTTAAGTTGAAAATCAATCTGACTAACGATGGCATTAGATGACTTTTTGTTACCCTAACACACCTTGAAAAGTGTGGTCCTGGGATGAGCTCTGTGCTGGAGCGGACAGAACTTTTGTAGTTGACAGTGGAATTCCTCATGAATTTTGGGTGGCGACGCTTAGATCACTGCTGCGTAGTACACTTTTTAAACTTCATGTCAATGTCTTTGTTTCAGCTTATCATGATCTTTTAAAAACATGAATGCCTCTCGGTGTCCAAATTCGACATCTTACTGTTCTCACAGTCGGGTTGCAGATTTGATCTTCCTGTCTTCATTTACTATCGTCCTCTGGGTGGAGGGCCGTTATTATTATCCCACTGGTACTAAGCATGACCAGATGAGCAGGAGTGTGCACTTTGATCAAAGTGTATTTCTCTTCCAGATGCGGATAATTCAGCACAAACTCTTCCGTTCATGGCATTTCCAACTTTAGGCTCCGTTCGTTTCGTGAAAAATATTATGTTTCTGGAAAATGTTTTCTAGAAAGCTACTTTCCTGGAAAATGGCACAATTTTTAGGTGTTCTGCTGTAATCTAAAAAAGTTTCGGAAAATATTTTCTGTTTGTTGTGGAAAACAATTTTCTCTTTGTAATACTTTTAATCATTTTTTAATTTTTAATTTTTTTCTTTTTCTTCTTTTTATTTTTTTTTCTTTTTTTTCCTTCTTCTTCTTCCTTGGGCAGCTCGGCCTTGCCACCGCCTCGCCATAGGCCGGCGAGGCTTGAGCTCACCTATGGCCGGTTGACGGCTGCCGCCGCCGGCAGCCAAGGAAGAAGAAGAAGGAAAAAAAAGAAAAAAGAAAAAAGAAAAAGAAAAAAGATTATTAAAAATAATAAAAATTAGAATTTTAAAAAAAGAAAATAAAAATAATTATAATGAATGATGAAAGAAGGAGGGGGGAAATGTTTTCCTCTTTTCAAAAAGTGGAAAACATTTTCTCACTTTTGAAGGTGTTTTGTCCATTGAGGGAAAATATTTTCCATGACTAGTTTATTTTCCGTAAAACAAATGGAGCCCTGTCAACTGCAATTCCCTTCTCCATTAGTCCTGCTTTTATGCTCATATTCATCGTTAAAGAGATTATGCTTTTCTATTATTCAAATCAAAATAGGGTTACACAATATATTGTTGGTAAAAGAGAGAATATATTTTTTTTATTGAGATTAAAAGAAGTATTTATAGGCTTAGGGTTAAGCCTTGTACAATTACATAAATAACCCCAACTTGCAAAACTATAGAATATTAAGTAATAAACCCGATTGTGATATCCTGAATTCCCATTACCCGTTAATGAACATGGTTGAGCATTGATTGAAATGGAATTGAAGTGATTTGTGCTATTAAAGTTACGAATTGTTATGATCACATATGTGATGTTGTGGAACTCGACGCCTAGTTCTCACCGTGATCGAAATTTTAGAGCCAGATTTAATGCCCTAATTCTTATAATTCTTGAAAATTATAGGGTAAACTCCATGAAATTGGATGTGTCTATAATTCTTCAACGTAGCAAGATATATATGTGTAAGTGAGAGACAATCATTTTCCTTTCTCTCTTTCTATGGCCGGCCACCACCATCACTACCCATCACCTTCATTTCCCTACTTTTCTTCCATTTTTACCCCTCATGCATGCATGGAAAGTGTCACTTGGCATGAGACAAGTGTTATGAGACTAAGTACACTTGTCAAAGTGCATGCAAGGTGATAGAAAAGCAATTTGAGAAGCAAAACTCTCATTCTCTCCCTCTCTCCCTCACTCTCGGCCGAACACACTACTCTCTCTCCCTCAAGTTTTCTTTCCATTTTTCCTCTCAAGCTCAAGCAAGATTGAAGCTTCTTGCTTCATTTTCAAGCCAAGGCAAGTGAAATCTCTAAAAGCTACTCTATGTGATCTTCTCATAGCTTGGTTTAGAGATGGTTCTAGGCTTGTGACTTGTGTAGTTTTCGGCTTGAACTTGTGATTTGAGTAAGCGTGGCCCATGCTAGTGTAGTTTTCGGCTTGAACTTGTGATAGCATGCTGGAATTTTCAGTTCTAGTTAAATGGTTGCTGGAAATTTTGGTTTAGTAAGAAAACATGCTGGAATTTTCGATTCTCGTCAAATGATTGCTGGAATTGCGGTTTTTAGCAAGAAAACATGCTGGAATTTTTGGTTCTGGTCGAATGCTCGCTGGAATTACGGTTTTTAGTAAGATAGCATGCTGGAATTTTTGGTTCTATGCTGTATCTAGTGGTTAGTGAGTTAATTTTGATTGAAACATGTGCGATGAAGTGTATGCTTGCTTGAAACTTGGTTTAGGCGTAAATTACATGCTGGAAATGACCGTAAAGTGGTGAAAATATTGAAATAGCTTGCAGTAATTGCTGTCGTGTATGGAAATCGTATAATGGCATGTCGAGACGCTACGTAATATGTTGGAAAAGGTCGTGATTGATTAAATTAGAAGTGATTGTAGTCCACTGAAATGTTGAGATTTTGATGTCATGTGACATATTGCATAAGAACATGCCTGCAAGTGTGTGAAATTAAGAGATGTGCAAAGATGTCCATCAGTCAGTGGATTGATGATGCCCCAGGTGTTTGGGATGCCCCCGCTGTGTGGTCATGGGATGCCTTGGTCAGAGAACCGAGATGCCTCAGGAGTTGAGATGCCCAAGTGAGTAAATCTTGGAAGTCTGGTTAGTGGACCGGAAGTGACCCATGTGGGCTGTGCAGAGAACTGGCGGATATCGCGATGTCGAGGGTGGAAAAGATTGAGAATAACTAATGAAACAAGGCTTATAAGTTTGCATGACAACGATGTGATTTCATGGCATACCTTGTTTGCAAGTTACATTCATATCTTTTAAATGCTTGACTTATATGTGATAGTCTTTACTTATGTGTTAGGTATATAAATGTGATTGCGTTGTTAGAACCGTTATTAGAAGTTGCTTGTCTTGAACGTATCTTTTTATCAAGACGTGAGTGGACCGTGTAATGCAGATTTTAGATGTTTCTCTTGCTGGGCGTATGCTCATTCCACTATTTTTCAAACACTTAGCATGGATGTTCCCCTGCTTACACGATGTGGAGCGCCTATTAGCTTTGAGGGCCCCTTAGAGGACGTAACTTTTCCGGGATCTCACCTTGGTTTTACGAGTTACGTAGCGACGATAGGCGTACGGAGTGGATACCGTACCATTTTGTAGCATGGTACCTAAACAGGAATGGCCAGTTACTTGGGCCTCTTCGTTTCATGGACGACGGTGGCAACACTAGTATTGATGATAGCGATCTAGAGGAGTATAGTGATAAGGAGGAGTAGATGGCATGGCCGTGTTGATGCATATATATGTATATAGTGTCTATATGTAGTTAGACACGCTTTTGGTTATGGTGTGCCGGCACGTAGAAGGGTTAGGCAACTTTTTGGACCTCCCACCCAGGCGTAAGTGGTGTGGTCTCATGATGTACGTAATGTAGTCTTTTGGTGTGCATGACGCTGGGTTACAAGGTGTACATATGCCTAAGTAACTCTTACATGTGGTTATCAAAGAGGATGGTCTGTTTATGGTATGGAGTTTGCGTATTCACCTTTGATATATCGGTTTTGTACCTTGTAATAACTTCCGCATGCACTAATTAAGATTGTAAAGAAGATCAAAGAAGTATGGGTTAGGAGGTGGCGTGCCTGGGGAGTCACAAACACTTCCCCTCAACTTAGGGCGTACATATCAAAAAAGCCTAACTTGTGTCAAATGTATGAAACTTGTCCACGTCGAAGAGGCTTCGTGAAAATGTCTGCTAGCTGCTCCTCAGAATGTGTGTTCACCAACCGTATATCACCACAATTCACCTTTTCTCGAACAAAATGACAACTCACTTCTATATGCTTCGTTCGCTCATGAAACACTAGATTGCTAGCAATATGAACAGTAGATTGATTATCACATTGAAGAGTAGATGATTTAGTCATAGGCAGTCCAATCTCAGCTAACAACATATGAACCCATTGAAGTTCACTTGTAACATTAGTTATAGCACAATACTCGGCCTCTGCACTAGATCGAAACTTTTCCATGACACAAGATTACCACCAAGAAAGACACGGTATCCAAAAGTAGATTGGCGATCCATAGGGCAATCAGCCCAATTTGCATCAGAATATGTTGTCACCTCCCAAGACTCAGGATTAGAATTATCAGCTATATGAAGATGACCCCGATTGTGGAACACAAGTCCTTGACCCGGAGCTCCCTTCAAATAGCGAGCAATTTATAGGACAGCCTGCCAGTGAGTTCTATGGGGAGAGCTAATGAATTGACTCACAACAATAACAACAAATGAAATATCTGGACGAGTAATAGTGAGATAATTTAACTTACCTACTAACGGGCGATACTTCTTTGGATCATGAAGAAGCTCTTCGTGTTTATTATCAAGCCTCACCCTAGGGTCCATAGGTGTGTCACCAGGTCTAGCGTCATGCAAGCCCACCTCTATAAGAATGTCAAGAGTATACTTTCGCTGAGAGTGAGCTATATTGCCATCGGCATAGGCAACCTCTATGCCAAGAAAATATCGTAGACGACCCAAGTCTTTAGCGTTAAACTCTTTATGTAGAAACTGCTTCAGTCGTTGTATATCTTCAACATCACTCCCAGTAATAGTAATACATCGACATAAACAACAAGAATAACACACCCCTTTGAAGAGGACATACTAAATAGGGAGTGATCCATATTACACCGATGCATTTCCAAAAGTAACAACCACATCACTAAAGTTGCCAAACCAAGTATGAGGAGACTGTTTAAGTCCATAAAGGGCTTTTCACAGTTGGCACA